TATACAACCTATTACATTAGATAATCTAACAAATCAATAACAAGTCATTCATCAATATGGTCTCATAAAATTAGATACACAATTTACCTCCAACTTATTCTGCTCTCCTATCATGAAAATATGATCATCGTAGTTTAATTATCAAAAAAACATGTAAGAATATGCTAGATTTCAAAAGAATAAGAGAGATGAATATATCAAAAATAAAAACTTAACCCAACACCTTGAAAGTTGGTCCATTAGTATAAATTGTCAAATAAGCTACTATTAAGTTTTATTTACTTCAATTTTTTAAATTTGTTCAAAATAATAATTAAATCAAGCATTTTAGTACAATAATTCTTTTCCTATCAAAATTTAACTTGATATCAAAAATTGACAATAACATTTTGTTCAATCAACTAAACTAGCTCTAATGTAACATACTTAAGTATTCATAAACAATGGTGTAAAAAATAAAATATTCTTTAACAAAATTAACTATTTTAAATACTAATAATTAAATTGAAGTCTTTTGATACAATTGATTTGAGTATTCCTAAGCTTCTATTTGGTGGAGGTGATTTAATAGGAAGAGAATGATTTAGAGTAAATTTGAAAAAATATTATTGTTTAGTAGAAGGTATTTAGAGAGAATTGTGAGGAATTATAAATAAGTCCCTCATTATTTTTTATACCTTCTTCCATGAGATTCCTGTAAAATTTGAGAGATATGTAAAATTACAACATATAAAAAAAATAATTCAAACTATATTGTAAAGAAAGGATAAAATAATAATTGTAAATATCAAATTCATTTTATTTCTCATCTAATTCTACATTATTATTTAATTTCACTCTATCAAACAAATACAACTTTAACTCTATTCTTACCTATTTTCTATCAAATCAATTCTCACATATTCACTCCTTCTCTTCTATTTTTCCCTCCTCCCCCAAAAAGCATACAATTAAAACAATGACATGTTATTTCAAATTATCTTTTTTTTTTAACTTGAATTAAATGAAAAACGAAAAAGCTCAATGGTTTGCCAAAATAATCCATAACCATTTCAGAATCGTGTTGGATCAATCATTTCGTAGCTCAAGCTATATAAGATCCAACTTCACTAGGTCAGTAGTAATATAAATAAAGTATAGAGATATTAATACGTAAAATTACTAAATATCTAGCATTTACGGTAATAATATAAATAAATTATAAAGATATTAATATAAAATTTAAATAGAATGATAAATGTTTTCAAAATATTCTTATTTAGAATTTATAAGGTTGGAATAAAAAGAAAATGAAATTTACGAAATAAAAAAGTAATGACACTCAAAAGGATACTTTATTAATGTATATTTTGATTTTTTATTGGAGCTTGACTCTCGTATGATATGGATATTTTTTTTAGTTGCAACTCAAAATGTCTCAATTTAAATCACACGAATAAAAAATAAATACAAGATTAAAATTTTAATAAAGCTAAATTTATAGAGCTTTATATAATAATTTTTATTTGTCGCTGTAACACAATTATTGTGAGACTCGCAGCCCTACACTCTCTCTTTCTCTTTTCACTTTTCTCCCTTCATTTTCTTCTTCTCTCCAAGCCTCTTAACCTTGTTTCTGATTTCCTTTCTCTAAGGCTGAGGCAGTGAGCACCAAGGTGGTCCATCAACCCTTCTTCATCTCTTGCAAACGTAAAGCCGTGCGGAGCTAGCTGAGAGCCGAATCCTTTTCTTCTTCCTTTTTGCTTCCCCGGAGCTCGGATTCTTCTTCTCCGAGGTAAGGAAAGTTAGTTTTCTGTGGATGGGTTGTAAATGAGTTTAGAGACTCATTTGATGCTTGAGTTTAGGAGATTGAAGGTCAGATTGAAGAGTTGCTCGTTTTTGGAGTTTTCGGGAAAATTGGAAAAAATGGGGATTTCTAGGTGTTTGATGGTTGCATGTTGAAAAGGAGTTGATTTTTGAGTTGTATGTTGTAAATGTAGTTCATTAGATGGATTGCATGTGTTTGAGTTGGCTGATTTTGCAGGTTTTGGGGGAAATTTTCGAAGTGGTGAGGGTTACTGTTTGAAATTGTGTCGGGCGCAGTTCTTGGTGCCGGGCGTGCGTTCATCAGAGACCACCATTGACTTTTCATGCCAGGCGCAAAGCTAGTCGCGCCGAACGTGATTTGAAATGGGAAACCTTGGGTGAATCACGCCGGGTGTAGGGAGAACCACGCCGGGCGCACTATCAGACGTGAGTCTTGTGTTTTGTTACTGATATGGCATCGGGCATGATCGGAGCACGCCGGGCGTGGAGACCCATTGTGAGTCTCTGTCTGGGGTTGCGCCGGGCGCAAAGACCTCTGTAGGTCTCTAGTTGAGTTTGTGTCGGGCGTGATTTTAATGCGCCGGGCGTGAGTATGTTGGTCTTTGAGTCTTCATGAAGGTTGTAGCCTTGGATGTTATCTTTCCAATGGAGCTAGAATCACCCAAAAAGGAGGTCTAGAACTCCATATATGGTTGTTTTAGTGAAGAGGGGTCATGCTGTCAGCATTGGTTATAGCTATTGCGGTTTTTAGAATGTTTAACAAGGTAGATGAAGGAATTAGGACTTGGTGTCTTCATGAGAGTTGTAGGAAATCTTCTTATCTTTCATATGAGATAAGGATGAGCATGATAGGAGTAATATAACTCCCGATATGATATTTTATGTAAAGGTTGCCATTTCGCAAGGAGTGATTTGGATAAGTCGAAGGCTGTCTTAAGTGCATAGGTTAATTCATGTTGTATATGTTGTGATGGTTGGCATGATAGATGAGTTGTAAACATGATGGGTGAGTTGTATTATGTGTTGAATATGTTGTATGTTGTGAAGTTGTTGATCATGTTGTTAATGATGTTAAGATGAGTTGTGTTGTATGTTGTTTATGTTGTTAATGATGTTAAGCTGAGCTGTGTTGTATGTTGTTTATGCTGATTAATGTTGTTAAGCCGAGCTGTGTTGTATGTTGTCTAAGTTGTTAATGCTGTTATGCTGAGTTGCGCTAAATGTTGAATATGCTGTTTTAAATAGTTGAGCTATGTTGTTGAATATGAGCTGTTTAGGCTATAATGCCGAGTTGTTGATCACTAAGACTAGAGGAGATGTTTTTTAAAGATGTTCATCCTATTGTGTGGATTGAGGAAGCTGTGGTGCTCTTAGAGCCCAATTTGTTGAAAACCCTCCTTGGGAAGCTGTCCCTTGGAGTGGTCATTGTGCTGTTCTCCTCTAAGTACTTAGTTGGTCCCGTGTGTGGGCAAGGTCGAGGCACACGTGTACAAAGCGATCACGGTATAGGGGCAAGGTCGAGCTATACCGATTATAAAGTGACCACGGTATAGGGGCAAGGTCGAGCTATACCGATTACAAAGCGACCACGGTATAGGGGCAAGGTCGAGCTATACCAATTACAAAGCGACCAATTTGAGTATAGTATGAAGTTGGGAACTTAGTTCCTAACCGAGTACTATACTTCCTTGTTTAAGTGGCAAAGTTTGAGAAATCATTATTGTGTTGTGGATTTCTATCCAAATTTGTTGTTTACCTAGAAAGCCCAAAAAGGTTCTGTGTTGTTGGTTCGGTAGGACCTAGCCACTTAGACTACTTACCACGTTGTAGGAGATCTCGGAGTTGAAATGCGTGACGACGCATAAGCTGTTTGATGTTGATTTTGCTAAATGATATGAGCTGTTTGTATGCCGTGTGTGGTGAAGCTGAGATGTAGATGTATGTTGTTATGTGTTGTATGTTAACTTTGTTGAAATTGATGATGTGTTGTTAAGTTGAAGCTGTTTATAATTTAATTATATGCTGATTCTTTTCACTAGCTTACCCTTGCCTGTTTCCATGTGAATTAGACTGCAATGATCATACTGTGTATGAAAACAGAGCAGGAATAGGCTGGAATGTAGTAGCAGGACTACAGTTGGCAGCAGGAGCTGATTTTGTTGTGCATGGCTACTTGGTGTAGCTATTTTGTAGTTTTATATTTTGACTTGTTAAGTCCCAGACTAGACTGATGTATATATATATATATATAT